ATGGTATATATGTATTATATATGGGTATATATGTATATATATATATGGGTATATATGTATATATATGGGTATATATGTATATATATATATATATATATATATATATATGTATATATATATGGGTATATATATGTATATATATATATATGGGTATATATGTATATATATATATGGGTATATATGTGTATATATATATGGGTATATATGTGTATATATATATGGGTATATATGTATATATATATATATGGTATATATGTATATAAATATGTATATATTGTATATATGTATATATATATATGGGTATATATGTATATATATATATTATATATATATGTATATATATATATATGGGTATATATGTATATATATATGGTATATATGTATATATTATGTGTATATATGTATATATATATGTATATATGTATATATATATGTATATGTGTGTATATATCTATATATATGTGTATGTGTATATATGTATATATATGTATATTGTATATGTATGTATATTTATATGTATGTATATATATGTATATTTATTTGTATGTATATATTTGTATATGTACAGTGCACATCAGAAATCTTGGCATGAGAGGTTCCCGTGCCTATTTTTTTACGTTTTTCGGTAATACCCCTCTAATATCATGTAAATCGACTTATAATCTTGACGCCCCGTCTGCTGAATGATTACTCATCTGACTCCACATTGGCGGTTTCAGTTATGACTCAATTACATCTGGGCAGTGACAGTGAGCAGATTTGCTACGTGCTTTTTTCGTGAATCGCCATGCATGTTGCCTGAGTTCTGTTGCTGTTTTTGGCCAGTGTGTTGTGATTGCTGCCTCAAGCTTGGGGACTGATGAGGTATCATGCTCACGTAATATGTTTTTCATTAGTGCCTACAAGTATTCATTTGAATTTAAAACTTTGCATTATGTTAAGGTGCACCATCCTGCAGAAATACGTCTGTTTGGTGCCACTCAAATCACTCTTCCAAATTATCACTCAGTAGCTCCAAATATCTGTGCATTTATCAAAACATTTCCTGATAGTATTACCAATGTCCCCACACCATGGTAACCAAAGGCACCCACACCATCAGTTTATCTGAATATTTCAGTCCCTTGGATGAATCTCGGCTCACACGGATCACTTTCAGGGCGGCGATAAACATTGCCGTCTCTGTTTCCAAATACACGCATCATCGCTCCATAACACTCGTTTCCACTTGTCCTTGTCCCACGGAAGATATTTCTTACAAAAAGCAACCCTATTTTGCCTCTGCTTAAGGGTGACAATCGGTTTCTGACGAGCGATGCGGTGGGAAAATTTCAAGTGATTGTGGAGCCATCACTATATGGTTTTCACAGACACATCAGCCAGTAACACAGGGTTCCTTTCTTTTAATTCTGGTGCTATTATTCGTGGCTGACTATCCACCTGCCTCCTGAGCACATTTAATGTGTGTTTAAATTTTTTCTGTGGCTTCCCTGGCTGCTTTTTCTGCAGTGGCAGGTCAATGTCCCCACAGTCATGAAATGTTGTCCACTTCTGGAAACTTTGCAATGAAATTCCGATTGTATTTGATATTTCGGTATTGGACTTTCCCTCCTTACAGAGTGCTGTAATACCGGCAATCTGACCATTTTTCAGCTGTTTAGCACCACCCATCACAACACACTGGCCAAAAACAGCAACAGAACTCAGGCAAAATACTAGGCTATTCACAAAAAAAGCATGTTGTAATTCTGCTCACTGTCACTGCCCACAGTGGGGAGTGCTGAAACCGCCAATGTGGAGTCAGATGCGTAATCTATCAGCTGACGGGGCGTCAAGATTATAGGTCGATTTGCATAAAATTAGAAGGGTATTACCGAAAAACGTCAAAAATCTTGGGACTGCACCAAGATTTCTGACATGCACTGTATATGTATATTTATGTGTATGTATGTGTGTATGTATGTATGTATGTATCTATGTATATATATATAATATATATATACATACATACATACATATATATACACACATTTATGTGTATGCATATATATGTGTATGTGAACATATATGTATATGTATCTTTATATGTATATATATGTATATAATGTATGTATATATATGTATATTTATGTATGTATTTATATACATATCTATATATATGTGTGTATATATGTATATATGTGTATATATATATGTATATATGTATATGTATATATGTATGTATACATGTATATATGTATATATATATGTATGTATGTATATATATGTATATATATGTATATATATGTATATATGTATATATATATATATATATATATATATATATATATATATATATATATATATATATATATATATATATATATAAAATTATATGCATGCATGTATGTTTGCTTGCCCATGCATATAACAATATGTGAAAGTTTTTGTAAATATCTTTTTATGATTTATATGTAATTTGAAATATATTAATCTTTTGGGTGTGCATACCCTTCTTTTGTAAAGTATAATGTTTCTTGTTTGTGATTTATTACAGTATATTGCAAGGAACAGGAGACAGATCAAATGATGCAGTTCATGATAATCCGTACTTGGGAAGCCCCACCACTCTCTTGCGACTTAGAATGGAATAGGTTTATTCCTTTCCAAAATGCTACTTGATTATGGTCCTTGAAATGTTGCTAACTATCTTTGTTGTGTTTCACTTTTAGGCTATCCATGGACTAAATGGAATGCAACTTGGAGACAAGAAGCTTGTAGTGCAAAGGGCAAGTGTTGGAGCAAAGAATGCCAATGCAATGGCTCAGGCTCCTGTACAGATCCAGGTTCCAGGTTTGCAGCTGCAGAGTGGCTCGGGCCCTGCGACTGAAGTCTTGTGCCTCATGAACATGGTGAGTGTTGTTTGCTGTGAATACCAGTCAGTCCTCAGGTATTGGCGTACCTCTTTATTATTTATTCATTTTATCATATGGTATTTTTTTTTTTTTTTTAATTTTATTTATTTATTTATTTATTTTTGTTATTTTTTTATAAGCACCTACTCCTTAATATGTAGTGCTGTTGCACTGCTGTTAATATCATTTGATTATAACTTGATTTTGAGGTGGTTCATATTTTTATGAAAGTAATGATGCATGTATGTATATATCAATAGATGCTTTTCTGAACTGTGATGTCAAAGTTATAAAGGTATAATGAATGAATACAGATCTTATACTGGGATTACTTAGGTAGATCTATACATCTAATTTTCATGAAGTACAGAGTATTTTTTTTAACCATTGACCATTGGAGGGCATGTACTTGTGTACTGTGATTTTAGATTATTAGTTTTGGTTACACATAAGTAGCTCTGCAAGTATTTAGTTACAAGTAGTTGGTTGCTATTCCTATGTGATCTCACTAATTTTATCATATTTTTGCAAATGTGTGTGTATATATATATATATATATATATATATATATATATATATATATATATATATATATATATATATATATATATATATAATAATGTAGTAGTAGTAGTAGTTGCTGTTGCAATTATAAAAATATGATGAATAATAACAGTAATGATGATAGTGAAAAAGGATAATAAAAAATAGGTAAGCAGGTGAGGTCCTAATTGACATATCACTGTAGTTTGGTGCTGTGTACACGCACGCACGCACGCACGCAAGCAAGCAAGCAAGCGCAACACACACACACACACACACACACACACACACACACACACACACACACACACACACACACACACACACACACACACACACAACACACACACACACACACCAACAAACTGCAAAGGCAGTGTATATGTATACCTGTTGCCAATGGGTTTAGTTAAAATAATGCTCTTAATGTTAGAAAATAGGAGATTCATTAGCTTATGCAATTGGAATTTTTGATGAAACAATTTGATTCCTGCCACTGTTTAATAAATTCAATATTTTCTCTTCCACCAGGTAACACCAGAGGAGTTGAAGGATGATGAAGAATATGAAGACATCCAAGAAGATATTCGTGAAGAGTGCAGTCGCTATGGCATAGTGCGCTCAGTGGAAATCCCAAGGCCTGTTGAAGGGGTTGAAGTCCCTGGAGTGGGCAAAGTGTTTGTTGAATTCAACTCTGTGCTGGACTGCCAGAAGGCACAACAGAACCTCACTGGCCGCAAGTTTGCCAACCGTGTTGTTGTCACTTCATACTTTGACCCGGATAGATATCATCGACGTGACTTCTAAGTTCAATAGATTGGTGCCCCCTTTCAGATAATGCACATGGAATTAGATCAGCACCTGTTTAATAATTTTGTCAATACAGCTTTTAAAATTTAAAGAAATAATTTATAATTATGTTAATTACCCACTTCAAAGTATTTTCTTTCTTTCTTTCTCTTTGTTGGGGGAGTGGTAAGAAAACAGGAAATTAAAAAAATAATAAATATTAAAAAATGAAAAACAAAAAAAAAAGTAAATGACCAAGTAAGGTACTAGCATGGTAATTGTAGAGCAAGCAAGAATTAAAGTTTTATTTGTGAGGGAGGATGATAACCATTTTGGTCGAAGCCCAAATGTTTGGCAGTGTAAAGTATGTCATGATTTTCCCCCCTGTGGAAGTAGAGATATCTCAAAGAACCTGAACTTTGATTTAAATGTATTAATTTTTATGTGATTAGGCTTGTAATAAAAGGCCTATATGTTTGTTTAGATGTAGTGAAGCATTCAGTTTTGTAACAGTTCTCTATATTTTGTTTAGTGCATAAAAAGCATGACCAACTTTCTGTATGTTTCACCACTTATTTTAACCAGTAAAGTCTTCAAATTCATTGTGTTTCTTATTTATATACCAATTCTTTATTTATGGTAAGGAATTAGTAAATGTGCTTTTGGAATTTCTTTTCCTCATAAAATTGTTTATTTCTACCTTACAAAAGATTGGGGCATCATTCATATAGAGTAATCATTAAAGGTAAATAATTTTCAAAAGTTTATTTATTTATAGTTGGACATTACTTTAGTTAAACATTATTTTACAAACACGACACAAAGATAATCACTTTGTAACCTGTTTGATTTCGTGTTATATTTTTGAACTAAGAACTTTTCTTTGGGAAAAAAGTAATTGTTTTAAAAGCTTTTTTTTATATTTCATCCATTCAAACAATTGCTTGAACTTCAGATCAACTTGAAAATTCTGAATTATTTTCAGTGCATGCAAGAAAATCTGGCAACTTATAGGCTTTTGGAATGTCTTTTCCTGGTTGAGTAGATTCTCATGAAATAGTTTATTTTTACCTTGCAAAAGATGGGGCAGCATTCATATACTGTAATTGTTACAGGTAAATCATTTTCAAAAGATTTTTTTTTTATTAATTTGTAATTGAACATTATAGTTAACATTATTTTACAAATACAACACAAAAACGATCACTTTGTAACCTATTTGATTTCAAGTTACATTTTTAAACTAAGACCTTTTCTTTGGAAAAAAGTAATTGTTTTTAAAAGCTTTTTTTATACTTAATCTATTCAAGCAATTGCTTGAGCTTAAGATCAACTTGGAAATTCTGAATTAATTTCAGTGCATGCAAGGAATTCTGGCAACATGCAATATTAAAATAAGTAAATGAGGTATGTAAAATTTCTTTGGAATTTGAAGCATAAAAGAAATTATATTCATTACATACCAAATTAATGTAACATCAAAAGCTTTGACCAGCAAGTCAAAATATTAAAATTTTTATAAAATTCTATGAACTTGTCACCATAATTCTACAATTTTCTTTCAAACACTACATATAACCTTGAAAAAAATAATGAGAAAATAAACCAAAGATCATGTCAAAGCTGCTGCATTAGTGGTTAAATCGTCGAACTGATGAAGCATTTCGCATTGTGTTCTTCAGTTTGACAGCCAAGGGTAGAGAATCATGAGGCTGCCTCTTGCTGGGACAATATGACAACGTGTGGGCTGCATCACCTGTGGCTCCACAATAAGGGCAGGTATAACTTCTTAAAACTGGGCATACAAGTTTCCCAAAATCATTCCTGTTAACCAATATGCTTTAATTAGATACACAACTTGTGTAGGGAGTATGATGAATGAATGATGTCCTTGTCCCCCCCTTACTACCAGGGTCAGCAATAAACAACAATTTCAGTGGGAAAAAGGGGATATAACTGATTCTAAGTAAAAACACATCACTAGTAATATGTCTACAGAAAAGACTCGTGTTCATAGATGTATTTTGTAAAATATATCTATACAGATGGCTCCACAAATGCTGAGCCACAAAGGAATTAGTAGTATAAAGGACAGCGGATTTTCCCCATCCTTGAGTTTTCCAGATTTTTTTTTAATGCTATTAATATTGCAGCCGTTATTAATGTTATTGACATTATAATTATTACAGCATTATCAACAATACTAATAGGAATATAAAATGAAACAATTCTCAAAATCAAGTAAAGGGTAAGGTGGTGAGATGGGTCAGACTAGTGACTATGCTAGTTTAATACAGTGTTAGGGATGCCAGTAAACTTTATATGTTACTGTTCTGAGTGTATTTAACTTCCCTTTATATGAGATATAAAAAAATAACATAAAATGAAAAGAAGAAAATCTCATTACTTTTGATTTAATTTTGTTAGACATCTGAAGCAATGTATGTGTAGATACAGTTCACCAAACAACACTAGTAAGCAACAGATTTTCAGGCCAGCATTGGGTTAAAAATAATTGTATTTATCTTGATTATTTCATTGAATATCATTATAATATGGTGTGTGCTTTTAGAAATAGAGTTTATAAATATAAAAAATAAATATATATTTGAAAATAGAAATATAATGTGTCCTTCAAAGGTGTGTGGACAAACAGGCAAAATGCACCTGTCCCTAAAATCATAATAGCATCCCTGAAAGATGTGTGAGAATGTAAAAGAGCATCAATAAGCCATAAAAAAAGAAATTGATTAATTTAATATTTATTTTATCATGCCTACTTAATGTGTATAGAAAAATTAAATTCTGTAGAGCATGGTTTAAATGTATACAAAATTATGCACTGAATAAGCTTAACACCCATTCAAAGCAATACAAAATTAATTTTCCAAAGATCACTCAAATATAACTAATTTGGGGGGTAACTTTTATAAGGGTCAACATTACAAAATAATTGATGGAGGACTTTGCAATTTTATGGAATAACTATATAAGGTCAAAAGTGTCAAGGTAAATGAAATAATATGTAAAAAAAAAAAAAAAAAAATGAAGAAGTGAGCTTTCCTTAAATTTTGTCAAGAAATTAGCCACATACTGCTGGCGATGTCCAATGTGTGTTTGATGTAGTAATTATTTTTACATATAGATGGCTCCACAAGTACTAAGTCACCAATGAGCCAATTACAAGAGCTACCTGTCTCACCTATTTACCCTTTTCCTTGAATTTCAATAATACTTTCTAGTATATAATACTGCTGTTGGTAATTTCAATAACAATATATTAATTATAATATCTATAACAAAAATAACAGTGTCAATATTGATAGCATTAGTAAAAAAAGCATTTCCTGCTATTTCAAGGAAAGGTGAGGTCAGAAGATCTACTAACTGACTCCTTTGTCTAAACACTGGCAGAGCCATCTATGTACAGCAACATGTAACAAAATAATACTAAAGTGAACGCAACATTTTCCTGTAGGCATTGGGTTATATGAATATTTTTTCAATATTTTTTTTAATGATTTGCAAAATTTCCAGATGGCATCTATGTTTGCAGTACTATCTTTATCAAATATGTATAACAAAATATTAAATTATTCAAATTTATAAAATATGCATTTTTTAAGAGAACCCTAAAATATCAATAGGTAACTTTGATAGGGCCAGACTTCCCATAAAGATATTTTAGAGGGATTAGGATCCGTTCATGAGACTTCTATTAGATAGATAACTTTTGGCTATATTTTGAGTTTGGTCCCTCTTAAAACACACACACACACACACACACACACACACACACACACAACACACACCACACACACACACACGCACACACGCACACACACGCACACGCACACACACACACAATAAAAAATTGATGTACACATTTTTTTTGCATTCATGTAAAGGGCATACGATTTCAAATATTGCAATTATTTATTAGTTAACCTTCCAGTTTTATTTCCTTTACACCTACCTGAGGGGATGGCTTAAGAAACTCTTTGCTGTTGCTCCATTACTTTTGCAGAATCCGCAGAATTTGGTGCCTATGACCTTTTTCTTTAACATCTGAAACACAGTAATTATTATTTGAATCTGTTCCAGCAAGGGCAGCTTCTAGATAATTTTTTTCATTTGTTGAACTGATAGCACACTGACTACAGCAAAGTCAATATGAGAGTGCAGCAAGAATACAATACAAATAGTTATACTAATCATCATTTTTAAAATTCATTCTCAGCAACTAAAATATACCAAGACCTGTGAAGATTCCAAGACAGGCGTAGAAGCTGGGTACGAGACATCCCAGGCACTACACCCAAGACGTTTCTATACGATAATAATAATAATAATAATAATTATTATTATTATTATTATTATTATAATAGTAATTATGATATTAATTTAGCGTTTAGTGTGATAGGCTCTTGTGACTCTAGTCATATTGGAGCTATCTGTTTTTTGTACTATTAAACTACCTCGTGTGCAAGGAAAGGCCGGGGTTACCATCCACTGGTAATATTTGAACTCGTCAGCAAAATTGCAAGATGAGAGCACTAAAACTGCACTAAACAATTTGACATAATGCTTTGATATCTGCTGTGGACTTTGCTAATTAAAACTTATATGTCACAGATAGGATACATGACAGATATACACTGACAAATATATAAAAATGTAAAATCATATTTTATTTTATTTTTTTTTAGCAACAATCCCTTATAGTGTCAGTTATTAACCCATTAACCCCAGGTTAAATATTTGGTTAGTGGACCATTTATGCAGGGTTGTTGCATCAATAGTTTCCAATTTGCACTGGGCACTTTCAGCAGCAATATTAGGTACCTAAAAGCTTATGTTTTGATATCAACTCAAAAATAATAAAAATGTGAAGATTTAGCTGTACCTTTGGTCCTATTGCCTAAAAGCTAACCCACGCAAATGATGCCCCTCCTATCGGAAAGAAATAAGCTCCATCTGATGATCCAACGACATGAATGTCGTAATGTAACGCAACCCACTACTTGGTCTACAACAGCCATAGCATATTAGTATATGACACCCAATTAAGAAACTGCAGTCTACCCTTCTTGTTAACTCTTTTTCTGCCCAGTGGCAAGTACGTACATGCCATGGTTGTGGACAGAAAAGTGGATGGCATCATATCACGACCATTCCTACACCATTGGCGCATCAAACGGAGTTTGTTTTTCTCCGATATCAGCAGCTTCATTTCGATGGTACTTTGCACTTTAGATGCAATAGCACCTATAATGACGTTAAGCCTTCAATTTTTGATGTTAAAAATTATAGTAAAATAAAAGCTTTTAGATGCCGAATGTCACTTGCAAACTACTGAACAAACCGGGTACAAACTGTTGATGCATGCTAACAACCCCGCGATCATGTCCACTTGCCAAACTCTTTTACCCGGGGTCATTGGGTTAACAGAGTACTCTACGACCGCTTCCATTTATAAAATATGTTGAGCAACTTTTGAGTATCATCTGAGACTTCTCTCATTCATTATATCATAATGCATAAAAAAGGTGTAAAAAATATTGTGAAAACAAAGAAGCTGTGCATTATCTTGAGTTAACATAAATCAGTTACATGAACATGTGTTTTTTTTTTTGTATTCCTCTAGTATATAATATTATCATCATATTTCCCAAATACAGAATGCACTCATTATATACCTTTGTAGCAGTTTTAAATTCACCATGATTTTTCTCTTCCTCATACAACAGATGTTCCCATGGTGTACTGTTAGATCCTGAAAGAAATTCAGCCATAACAATAACTTTTGTGTTGTGCACTTAGATGCTACAAATTCTAAAGACAAAAACACAAAAATGTTGGTGTTGTGATAGCTGGTACACTGAAGTATGTATATATATGTCTAGAGATAATTAAGGTAGAAAAACCCTCAATGCAATATACTTCAGACCTGAGGATGGATTCCAGGAGGATTCTGGAACTGTTGTATCATTTATTCTAAAAAGGGGTCATCCATAATTTTCATCATTATCACAAGTCTGTAAAGCATAGACTTTTGAACCCCCCCAGTGTACGTTCAATGGACGAAAAATGTTGATGGATCAAAACCTCCCCTCGTATATAGGGATTCCTATTCTGTGATTTTACAATAAAAAATATGAATTCAAAATAAAGCCATGTCGTTATATCACCAAAGGCAGAGCCACAGTCTCATAGGCTGACTTTAAACCTTCAGCCTTGCAACACACTCATCAAAAGTCGTATATGTTTTAGATAAATCAGGTTCAATGTCGCATTTTCTACAGTTATACATCTAATACATTTTCTGTAGAGAGATGTGGGTGCATTTTATGTTGTCAAATGTTGTTACATTATTCTCTTAATAATGCACTTATTATATTGTTTCATACAGTACAATGAACAAGAAAGTAATGCAGGGAATCCTATAATCATTAGACTCTGACCGTACCCACTGTAACTGTAGTCTAATATTTATGCGTTTATGAGTGCATGGTTCAATTTTATCATTTATATCCATTTTCTTTGTCCTTTAATGTTTAGAAAACAGCAGAAATGTTTCTATGAAAAAGCAGCCAGCCCTGCTAGTAACACCGATGTGGCGCGGAATTTGATCACTGACGGATCATTATTTTTTATATTGGAAAAAGTGTATGCCTGGCCTTTAACCCCCTCCTCCCTGTGTGCAGTTTGTACGCTCATGATAATTATGAAAATTTTCGATGACCCCTAAATCTAGTTTGTGCATTATGGGTTTTCAACACGGTAGAGAGTTTTTCCAGTCTTCAAAGATAATCAACAAAATGCAAAAATAACATAGCAAAAATATCCTTGGTACCCTTAATGAACTTGTATCAATTCTGACATTTACCAGAAAATCTTACCTTCAGGAAACAAACTGGAGTTCATTCTTTGCTTTTCATTATGCTCCACTCTCTCCTCCGTGTTCATGACACAATCATCCTCTTGCTCTACTTTGCCCGAGTCTTGCGAACAAGCTATTGTACAGTCTCCTCCAAAACTTCCATTGCTATTTATGGTTGTGTGGAGTTCGAGGGCATCATTCCATCTATTCCATGTGGTTGGTGGAGGCTGGTACTGCTCCTTCATTGTCCTTCCTGATGTATGATGAATCCAAAGTGAACAATAATTGCCAGAGTAAAAATTACTCTCTTGATATGCATGGACCAGTAAGAAAAGAAAAGATAATAAAGAATGGAATGATTTAATCAGAGTCTCTCTCAATCATATATCATTCTGTTTCCTGCAGTATATAGGTGCTAAGGAGGAGGAGGCATGTCTTTTGATGTCTTTGTAACTTTTCTTTATTCTCTCACATTATACTGACATCAAAACCACCTAAAACAGCGGCAATGCAAAATAAATAATAGAAGAAAAAAGTTTAGTAGAATTTATAAGATAATTGTTAATGAAATAAAGTAACTGTAAAAACAAATGTGGTTTCCCTAGCATGTTCATACAGACAATTTAGTACCAACTTAACTTCTCTGTGCTAGCCTAGACACCACAGAGCTTACCAAAGTCAAGTGCCGTTTCCTGCTTTAGGCATAAGCCACCATCTTGGTCCATGCAAATCATAGGCCTGTTGATATCTGTTTCATCTTTAAATTCTCTTAGACCCTGTCTGGCATCCTCCCATGCTCTATGCACATCAACGCTTCTGACAGGACCTCCACATAATTCACCTGGCCATTTAAAACACCAATCTGTCACTTATGGGTTAAGAATACATAAATGTCTACTATCAAAATTTTATGCATGGTGACAGAAATCACCAAACCAAGATGATGACTAATTTCTAAATCATATCTGTAAAAAAACAATTGAAAAAACTTATATAGACTGATTATCTGTTACTTATTTTCATTTGTCTACAAATACGACAAAAATGCTCTTTGTTTTCTAACATTATATGGATTGTTTTCAAGGATTCTGTCCAAGTTACTGACTGTCAAGTTTAGAGAAGAGAAGAGAAGAGAAGAGAAGAGAAGAGAAGAGAAGAGAAGAGAAGGAGAAGAAGACGGAGAAGAAAAACAAGAAGGAAATAGAAAAGGAAAAGGAAATGGAATAGACGGAGAAACAGAGACAGATAGACAGATTTAAAGACAGACTGTTCAAACTCTTGCACATTATGTATCATACCAGAATCCATCATCTGAACTTCCCTGGCCTCCATCTTCTTCTCCATGCAAGACAATATAGTTGCATACACTTCCTTAAGTTTTGTGAGGTCTGTTGGAGGGCTGAAGGAATACCCATAAAACTGACTACCATCAGTGTTCTGTGTCAGATTTCTCTCCATTGATCCCTGGCCATGTTCTGCCCACGGAGAGTTGTGTGTAGAGAATCCACCTGATAAATTTTTGAAGAAATTTAGATTGAACTAATGAAGAATAAGAATGTGTTGTTAGTGGATACGATGCAGTGAGAAATCAGTTGATACTCACCTTTGAACTATTTACATACATATATGTCTCAGTTATGATAAAACCTTTTGGAGAGAGGCAAGAGATGAAAAAGAATGAATAGTAAGAGAAATTACTATGTTAAGAGAACACATCCACTTCCAATTATATTCATAACTGCTCTTTTTACTTAAATGGTTCTGTCCTTGATGCAATGGCAATCTAACAACGTTCACCTAACTGAAAATTGAGGAGGAGGAGACAGGAAGGAAGGAGAGAGGAGGAGAGAGGAGGAGGAGGAGGAGGAAGGAGTGGAGGAGGAGGAGGAGAGGGGAGAGGAGGAGGAGGGAGGGGGGAGGTAGGAGGAGAGGAGGAGGAGGGAGGAGAGGGAGGAGGAGGAAGAGGAGAGGGGGAGTAGGAGGAGGAGGGGGAGAGCAAGAGGAGGAGGAGGAGAGAGAGGGGGAGGGAGGGGGAGGAGAGGGGAGGAGGAGGAGGAGAGGGGGGAAGGGAGAGGAGAGGGGGGGAGAGGAAGAGGAGGAGAGGGGAGAGAAGGAGAGTGGAGTGAGAAGGAGGAGAGGAGAGAGGTGAGAGGGGAGGAGGAGAGAGGAGGAGAGAAGGAGGAGTGGAGTGAGAAGGAGGAGGAGAGGGGAGGAAGAGGAGGGGAGAGGAGGAGGAGCAGGGAGAAGAGGAGGGAGGTTGAGGAGGAGGAGGAAAGTGGGGAGGGAGGAGGAGGAGGAGGGGAAGAGGGGAGAGGAGAGGAGAGGTGGAGTGGAGGAGGAGGAGGAGGAGGAGGAGGAGGGAGGAGGGGGAGGAGGAGGAGGAGGAGGGAGAGAGAGGAGGAGGAGGAGAGGAGGAGGAGGAGGAGGAGGAGAGGAGAGAGGAGGAGGAGGAGGAGGAGGAGGAGGGGAGGAGAGGAGAGAGGAGGAGGAGGGAGAGGGAGGAGGAGGAGAGGGGGAGGAGGAGGAGGAGGAGGAGGAGGAGGAGGAGGGAGGAGGAGGAGGAGGAGGAGGGAGAGGGGAGGAGGAGAGGGGGAGGAGAGGGGGAGGAGGAGGAGGGAGGAGGGAGAGGAGGGAGGAGGAGGAGGAGGAGGAGGAGGGAGGAGGAGAAGGAGGAGGGGAGGAGGGAGAGGGGAGGAGGAGGAGGAGAGAGGGAGGGGGGAAAAGAGGAAGGGAAGAGGGGGAGGAAGAGGAGGAGTAGGAGGGGGTGAAGAGGAAGGAGAAGGAGAAAGAAGGAGAAGGAGAAAGAGAAGGAGAGGGAGAAGGAGGGGAGGAGGAGGAGAAAGAGGAAGAGGAGGGGAGGAGGAGGAGGAGGAGGAGGAGGAGGAGGAGGAGGAGGAGGAGGAGGAGGGAGGAGGGAGGAGGAGAGAGAGAAGCAAGTGGAGGAGGAGGAGGGGAGGAGCAAGTGGAGGAGGAGGAGGAGGAGCAAGGAGGAGGAGGAGGAAGGAGTAGGAGGAGTAGGAGTGGAGGGAGGCGGAAGGGAGGAGGAGGAGGAGGAGGAGGGAGGAGGAGGAGGAGGAGGAGGAGGAGGAGGAGGGAGGAGGAGAGGAGGAGGAGGAGGAGGAGGAGGAGGAGGAGGAATAAGAATGAATAGTAAGAGATATTACTAAGCGTTAATAGAACATATTCAATTCCTATTATATACATGACAGCTCTTTATAAATGAATTGTTCTGTCCTTGTTGCAATGGCCATCTATATAACATTCATTTAACTGAAAATTGTTGATCTTCAGGGAAATGTGACAGAGAGTTGGTTCGCTGTCTTACATAAACTGTTTAGAAAGATGACTATCATGTACAGGAAAATTTTTAAAATCTTTTTCCTTTTTCATGACATTAAACACTGTGGCACTGGTATACTCCTATGCTAAAGAGGGGAAAACTAGAAAAGGGTCTTTACAAAACAGCATACTTCAGAGAGAAAATGTGAATACCATGGAATGATCAGCTTTGGCCAAGAACTCTGATGTGTAGGTCTCCAAACTAAAATCTTTATAATAATAATATTTCCTTGAACCTGCTTACTATCTGAATAGATGATTAATTGCAATGATATACTAAAAGCTCTACTTTGTACTTCTTTACCAAAACTACTGAAGAAAATAAATATCAGAGTGGTAGCTGATAACTCGTATTTGTGTATGAATAAATGAATGAATGAATGCATAGCTATCTATCTTTGGAAAGCAAAAAAATCTGTTTGTGAAAATATGGGACAAGGAAAGATAAAGTTTGGCTCAGTCAGGTCACAAACGTCAATCCATGCAACCTTATTCTTTACTCTTGGAAAATCCTGAGATAAATGTGAGTCTAATAAATACTGCCTCTCATAAACAGGCCTTTGCTCACCATTTCCAGAGGAGTCATAGCCATGACCTTGTCGGGGGGCGCTGAGACGTGCTATTTCAGCGCTGACTGAGGCAGGTGGTGGTCCAGTTGTCCCATAAGCCACCTCCCTTGTACCTGGAAATTAATAGTGAAATCTAAATAGCAAGTTAATGAGATGAATTACTACTTTTCTAGACGAAGTCAGTCATTAATTATCATGAGGATTTATTATGTTTGTATAGTGTGATTTTGTATGCTTATTTAGCTAGTAATTTAATTAATATAGTGATTCCCAGCCTGGGCCAAATGCATCCACTAGGAGCAAAATGCTCGGGGTAATTACGAACATGATGCAAAGGGTCGCCCTTGACTTATGTGCTGGAACTTGCACTTGGTTACACTACCATTGAAGTAAAGAAAATGTCTGACTTCCTGAAAATGTCTGACTAAAATAGAGTATTTTAGTTTGATTCTTTAAACCAAGTGAGCAATAGCTATATACAAGTTTTTCTTTAATGTTTAAAAATCTGCCTAATATAATTCAAATAAAGGTGTTTATTTTCTCAATGTCGCTGTGCTATTCCTTTGTCTTTCCATGGATATATCGCATCCGTATTGAAGGAAAGATAAAAATGTCTTAACTATCAAGGATATTTTTGCAATCTGCTTGGAAAATCTTCTGTGATGTGAGATCAAATGATAAACAGCAGGGAAGAGTGGAGAGATCCTTTAAAATCATTTCTCAAAGGGAATAATTGAGAGCAAAAGCCATTAGAACTCTGATAGTGGGGTGCCTGCATTT